AAAAGACACACAACTAGCTCACAAAATCACGCGGAGCCTGCAAATCCCGTTTCCCAAAGCGGAGCCTCCTTTCTGGGTTACTGCCCCACTGTTTACCAGCCCCAGTTTAATAGGGGGGGTGGGGGAAAACCCCTCCGCATTTCACCCAGAATCGAACGCCGTTAGAAACCTGCAGCTTCCAGGCTTGGTGCGAGCTTGGTGCGAGGAATGATAACTGGAATGAACCCAGGCTTCTCTTTCCCCTGAAACGAAAACCACTTAGATGGTTTATAAGCTTCATTCCATGTCTCCTTCCCTGCAGATCGAACCACCCAGTTTGTGTTTTCCCCAACCCCCCCAAACACACCCCCAGCTGAGACGGCGCGCATCTCTTGCACAGATCGCCGGTTTTTGGGTTTTTCCCCGAAACCCGCAAGGACACGCCCCCAGCCCAAGCGACGAGGCAAGAGGCTCATGGAGGCCTTGCACTGAAGGGCTGCAGCAGGCGCAGCGGAAGGTGCCAACACGGTGCCGGGGCTTGGTGCGGGAAACCTGGGAGCCAAACCAAAAAGGTTTGGGGGACGAACTATTTTGAGAATCAGCAAAGGGTATTTTTGGGTAATTAGTTGGGGATTGACAGCAAGTAGTATATGTTTGGGTAACTAGTTGGGGATTGAAGATGAACGCCTTGTTCGGCAGTCTTGTTGGCCTTGTCACTCCTCAAACAGCTCACTGATCAACGCTTGAGGGAGTCCCTGGCCATGTCGGCTTTTTTCAGGCCCCATAACCCATCAAAATTGGCTCTATCCTCAAATGGGATTAGGGAAACATGGCTATCCTATAATTTCGGTACGCTAGGGATACCATGGTCCCCAGGATTGCTTGAAGAGGGGGCTCAAGGCCAACATTTTGGTGCCCTTTCCCATGTCCACGGTGGGGGTTTGTTTGCAGGCCCATGTGCCCGGACGGTGATGTTACCAACTGCCAAACTGGAGCTTTCGGGGAAGCTCGAACAGATGTACGCCGAGGTCATTTCCTTTCTGCTCACCCTATTGGACATCCGCAGTATACATGTTGCAGTTTGATTCGCTCCGGTGGGTCGAGAGAAAGCGGTGCGATTCCGAGAAATCTTTGGCTCTTACGTCTTTCCAGGCAATGAAAAGCCGAATGCCGTTGAGATGCCGAGCTGCGCGTTGGTGATAAACGAAGCACTGCCGCGTGTGCCAAAAGACACACTTACTTGGGTTCATGGAGATGGTCAGCCACCCCGTGTAGGGGTTTTAGACAACCAGCATAAATGGCTTCCATGGAGGAAATCATGACCATGGCTGACCATGTCACAAACAAGTCCCATGAAGATGCGAGCCGATGCCCATACGACTTGTCATTGAAGCTTCATGATTAGTGTCGTTAGTTGTGTGTTAGCTGGCTCATTCCTGAAAGGCGCGTGTTTGCAGGTCTTGGCTGTTTGTGTTTCTGTTTGTCTGAAGTATATAGGGGTTTCTTCAACTAGACGTTGTTTGTTTCTTTGATCTCCTTAGACGCAATGGAACCGACCAGAGGTGCTTGGTTAACCATTTTGCTGGGATGCCAATTCTCCCTCAAGGAGAGTTCATGGGCGAAGAGGTCGCGCGAAAAGAAAACTATTTGGGCCTATAAGTGTGGTTTTCCATTGGTGTCCTCCAACACATTAAAACACAACACCAAAATGGGTACCGAGCCTGACACAAAGGCACACAAATGTCAGTGGCGAACTAAAAGTTTAGACACACGTTTTGTTGGCCTAACTCAATCGGAAGCGAGTATTGACTTGAGACGAGGTAAGAGTTTCTTGAAATACGATGGGCCTCTTCCGTTGGAGTGAGGCGTGCGTCAATTTTGGTGATTGCACGGGGACGCTCTCACTGGCACGTTGTTGATCATATGTTGATCATTGGTGCCGTTTCCTGCAAACGGAGGTTTGACAGCTTTCCTTTTTTGACCCAAAAACATTGGCAGTATATCACGGGCCTGATGGAACCTGAAGAACATGCGCGGAACAAACACCATATGATGTGCTGCTTTAACTGTATGAACCCAACAGGTTGCACCCACACGTTCCCAATACTCTATCGCTGTCGCATTTATTGATTTTGCGCGGGATGGGACATTACGGAGTATGGTCACTTGCGCCCGAAATGTGGGTAGGGGAATGGATGGAAGGGCGGCCCTCATGCTTTTCCCGGTTGGGGCGAGAATGAGGAGATGCTGTGTTCCTTGGCTCAGAATGTCGCCTTGCAGCAGCTTCTTATGCAAACAACTAGCCTTGAGGGAAATTCTAGTGACCTCACCCACCTTTGGCTGCCTCAAACATATCCTGTTTGGTGAGTCTTACTTCGTGAGTTGCCGGACTTTAGTACCACTGTTTGGGTTTTGTTGCTATTTTATTGGTAATCAAGAGTTTGGACGTTTTTTGCCAATCCACTCAGGATTCGAGGAATTCTCCAAAGATCACCCAGAGGCTACTGTTCGAAGGTTTGATTCCCCATTCTCTTCACCCATCGTTCTCTTTGGAAATCACCAATTTTCCAGGGTTTTGGCCTGCCTGAACAAGATGGGGAGGGCACAACTAGACATTTGAGTTGTTGCTCTCCCGCAGTTTCTCAGCTCCAATTGAAGTTTGGCTGCCTCAAGCCAACCCTCGGCCCGGAATCTCAAGCCCTTGGCTTTGCATCTCACAACGCTGGAAGGGGCCCCCCGAAACAACTCGGTGTGAGGCAGGACTTGTTCGACCAACCAGACCATGTCGCCTGTTTTAGGGAAACCACAAAATGAAACATGGCCAGACTTAGCTCGCCTTTGGATGTTGTTTGTTGGGTTTTTCTCCATGTTTCCTTTCAGAGGGTCTAAGTCTGTCACAGGGCAATTGGGACAATTGTGACGGTTGTGACACACCATGCGGGAAGGTAGCTTGTGGAACATGGCGAGCAGCGCCCGAGACCCCTTTTCGCCAATTTACGAGGAGGTTCCACTACCTGGTTTCGCCGGGGTTGTAGCAAGGCCCTGAACCTTTACAACATTAGCTCTTGGAGCCAAAAGTTAAAGGGTGCACTTGCGAATCACAAAGTAGCTTGCTTTGTCAAGAACATTTGTATTCATTAAGCGTCACTTCTTGGACTGTTCACAGTGAGTTTCCCTTTGTTGGAATGATGGTCCAAGGGGGCATAGCCCCCTGCAAGTAAACATGCGAAAAGGGGACTCCCAGAGAAACAATGGTTTTCTGCTGGAGAGTAGGGACCCTTCCCTGTGAATCAACCCACCAAAAAGGGTGCCCGTCTTGCCCGCGAAAACACCACTGACCTTCTGAGAGAAAGGAAAGGGTTGCTCCGTTCTTTGGACTCACCGTTTTTGCTAGGCCTGAAGCCTCTCTTGAGGCAATGCTTTCCCCGCAGCCAAAACACGAATGATGCCGAACTTTAGCCTGAAGCCCGAGTTTATTTAGCAGGGCCACTCAAAGGATACAGTCAACAAAGTCACACAGAATAATGTCCAGCTGAGGATCACCTTGCACAGCAGGTGGATGTTGGGTGTAGCTGTTAAGGATCCCTATTCAAGTGTTGCGTCCAGCGGCCGTGGAAACCACAAAGATACGGAAGGTCACCATGCTTAATGGGGTTTATCTATTGAACGGCCTTTTGGAGAAACAAAGGGATCCTCGTTCAAGAGGATTTCTTCACTGTTAAGACATCCATTCGTTTATTTCCGTGGGGAGGGGGGCAGGGCAAAAGTAAATCCCTGCCCACAAACGGACCACGAAAAGTCTTAAAACAAGATTCAAGTAAGCTTGAAGTCGTGGGTTTCATTCGAAAGAGGCTCGTTGGAGGTGCCAAAGAGTAGGGGCATGGTTTGCTTGTCTAGTTGATTTTGCAGAGTCATGATCGTCCATGACTGCTGATTTGTTTGTTTTGTACCCAAAGCTGAGCTTCTTGGGGAGCGATACCGCGCCCCTGGAAAGTCAGGCTTTTGGGTTTCCACCTTCCGCGAGAGCGGAAAACTGCGAGCAAAAGACTCCTAAAAAACTGCCCGCCGTAAACAGGTGTCAATCTCCACCAAGTCTAAGGGCACCAGTTACGGGAGTCACACGCTCGAATCCTAGGAACGCATTGATTTAGCCGAGTCCAGCTGGGGCTCAGGGGCTCAGGGGCTTCTTCGAGGGTAGTTGTTGCGGGCTTTGTTGGCAGAGTGGGTTCAAGGATTCTGAAGTTACAGCATTTCAGAGGGATAGAGTTAGTTCTTAGAGGTTCAGTCATGGCACTGGAACAAAGGGAACACCCGAGCGAAGGGCGGAAGCTCCAAGACAGGCTATCGCCCCGTGCTCCCGGTGGCTTGGGGCGACGCACGGAGGGGACGAAACCGTAGGTCCACCAGGTGTTCTTTTTGGTTGGTGCGGTTGAGAAATAGAGGGCCCTGGTGTACCTGGTGTTGGAGAGTCATCTATCAGGGCCATCTATGTTCCAAAAAGGACACTATAAGAAGACACTGCATCATTGACTTTGATAAAACAAATGCCAGTGCCGTCCAATTACCTTCCGCGCGCACGACTTGAGCCGCTTGAACAGAGTCTGTTTGATACGGATACATGCAAGCAGACTCTCAAGAGGATCATCCAAATGGTGAAGGTGATGGCCCAAACGTGGTTGAACGAGGCTGCGTAGACATGCGGAGATCGTGTATTGGTGCAGGAAGGTGGTTTGGAAGCCTGTCATGGACCCTACAAACCTGCCTACACAACCCAGCCAATGTTAGCCCCCGCTAGTTTTTTGCTGCCATTTGGCCTTTCTTTGGCCCTTCTTCAGCTCTTTCAAAGCCCTTTGTGGACTTCTCTTCAGCGCTTCTTTAGTCCTTGAGCTTCTAGGTCCCCCAGTAGTGCCCTTTTAGCCTTTTTTTTCGGGGGAGGGTTCCCTACTAAAATAGACCACAGATAACAAGGGTACCCTTATTCTATCCTGTTTGTAAACCCCAGGCTCAGTCACTCCGAGGCAATGACCGTGCTCCTCCTGTCGCTCTTCACTATCTCCGCCGGGGACTCCCAACCAGAGGACCTCCCACAGAAATGGTCCCTTAGCTCCTCATAGCTCCAATCAGTCGCTGATAGCCCCCAGTGGGATTGGTGGAGGCCCTTCATAACTACGAGAACAAAGCTTGGATTTATTTGCCCAGCACCCTTAGCCCCTTTTTTGTGACCAACAACAAAGATGTTGGAATTGGGGACGGGGTCAATCTGCCGCGCCTGCAACGCAATGGGTGCTTTGACTGAAAGGGAACCACCCAAAACAATGTGTCCCTTAATTTGACACGAGGCTCGGCGCAGTCTAATTTACTGACAGTCTCTGGTTGTTTTGGGAGGTAAAGGGAACTCAAAAGAATCACCCAAAAATCAGGAGACTCATCAAATTTCCCGGGTATAGTCTTGGGAAAACATTAAATTTTGACCCTGGCTCACATGACCAAGCCAACCAAAACCCAAGCAAAACCCAACCCGCGAGCAGACAAATAGACTGGGGATAATTCAACGTGAGGCTCCAGGGCCACTTTTTGTGATACCAACCTTGATTGGCTTGAAAGCGGGTAACGTAGTCATGGTGCAAAGGAATCAAAGGGCGTCCATTTCCGAAAAAACGGCTTCTGCAACTGCAAACAGGACTTGTTTCGGGTTCCAAGCAATCCGCAGGAGAGCATCGAAAGGTGAGGTGACCTACTTGTAGGATGATTTACCGCAGGTTGGTAGTGCCGTTTCTGGGGGCATTAGCCACTTTTTCATGGAACCCGTCTTGAAAATCCATGGTTAACACACAGGGGCCCTTCCAATTGCCCACCGCTCTCCCCGAGGCCGCTCTAGATGTGGGACAGGAGCACTTCCTCCGCAAGGCACACACACACACGGCGAAGCTCTGTTCGATAGTAGCCTCCGGTTGATTCGGCTGGTCTCTGATCCAATGATCCGGCCCCTTTCGTGACCCAAAGTAGCTGCCAAAGCGCAGATGGGGTACTTAAATGATGATCTGGTTGTCCCTGTTTCCTTCACTTGCATGAGGTTTTGGTGCCTCTTTGGCGGACATCATGCGGGGATGTCTGTCCTCCCAAAAGCCCGTTCGGGGACGGTTTTCGGAAGGAACCAGTCTCACAACATTGGTTTTGTCAAAAAGAGTCAGAAGCGCATGGTCCATTTGCGGGGGGCATGGGGAACTTATGTCTTTCGCTGTGTTTTTTTTCCCGCTCTCTCTACGTATTGCCACACCTCCACGTCTCGACGTAAGCCACTTGAGTTACCTGAAGGATCAAGGATCAAGCCCAGGTCCCTTCTTGCTTCAAAGCGGGGCCAACTGAGCGCCCAGATGTTCATTGGCTTTTTGGTTCTGACATACAAATCATTCGTTTTAAAACTGAGCTTTATATCCTCAGTTAAACCAGGTAGAACCACCTGCTAAAGCGCCCATGGGTTTTTGGGGCGCTGCTCAATTTCCAGCCATCCAAGGACAACCCAGAAGCTGATAAACCACCAGTCCCAACTGGTGCGAAGTTGATCTTCTCCATCCGTGCAGCTTTCATGTCGAAGCGGGAAAAGCAGGAGTTCCCCTGTTGAATCAGAGTGCAAGGCAAAGGGGTACCCCACTTTGGCATGGCTCTCTGTGTTTCTCTTTGGGTTGCTTTAAACATCACCGTTTGGGCCCATTCCAAAGTTCCCTTTTTGGTGGGTCATATCTAAAGAGGACATTCTCTGGGGAACTGTGGGTTCCGATGCCTTCTGGGTTTTTCAGGCATGGAAACACCGCAGACGTGGGCAGAAACCTAGGGAAAAGTTGACCACGTGAAACCCATTGCCAGACATTGCTCGCCGGTGGCGTCTCTGGGTCAAACCAATGTCACTCACAGGGGCCCGCCTCGTGTGGCCGAGTACTTCCTTGATTCTTCTTTGACAATGGTTCCTTCCAATCAGTTCCTTGAGAGCAACCCTTGAGAGCAATCACAGGCGAATCCACCTTATCAGACGTTTTTGCCTTCCAGCCTCAGTTGTTCAGTGGCACCCACCATATGACTGTTCCTTAAATCGTGAATTCCAAAAAGGTTGTTCTTTTAAAAACAGGGTCACTGGACGGTTATTCCAATTGATACAAGTGAGCAAATCCCTGTCCATTTGGGTCATACCCACTTCTGTTTTGCATGGGCTTTGTTTTGGGTGGGCTCCCTTCAAAGTCATATCCCCATCAAAAGTTGTTCGGCCGGGTTCCCTCGTGAGTTTTCTTTGATCTGTCTGATTCGAAATCATCAAGCAAAACAGAAGATAAAGCCAATTGATTCCCCTCGCCACATGGGCTGAAAAAACAACCCCGTGCCATTTCGTTATGTAAGGGGACGTCCCAGGCCAAAACCATTGTAAACCGATCCTGAGGAAAACAAAACGATACCCCCAGAAGCCATGAAGATGAGCATCAGGTCCAAGTTGTTGTCGCAAGCCAAGATTGCGGAATCATAAATTTGTGGGCCCAAGCCGATACCCAGCCGCCATGCCGAATCCAACCAGCCGCCCTGCAGCCTTCCCCAGAGCTGCCAAAATGTACTTTGTGTACTACATTTGTGCTGAAAAGTTGTGACTTCCACGCTGGAGCTGCCAAAATGTTCTTCGTATACTACACTTTACTACACTTACTTGCATTGAAAAGCTACGACTTTCGAGCCGGAGCTGCCATTCGTATACTACTGAACAGTTGCGACTTTCAGCTGGGGCTGCCAAAATGTACTTTGTGTACTACACTTGTACTGAAAAGTTGGGACTTTCGAGCCGGAGCTGGCAGAGTGTACTTTGTTTACCACACTTTGGAAAAGTCGCGACTTGCGAGCTAGGGCTGCCAAAACACTGCAAACCGATGCTGAGGAAAAACGATATTGACCGATACTAGGGCAGGAGGATATAAGGGCTGTCCACGGTTTTTCTCAACCCACGTGAGAAAGCAAGCTATCGAACCCCTGTCTGAAGCATCTGAAGCAATCAGCAAAGCAAGGGACCAGGCCTTTGACCCTCTTTTCATGTTGCCAGGTTGGGGATTGTCAACGTCCCTCTACGCTTTGTTTGACCCGCTGTCAACCTTTGGGTTTGTTGAAGGAGCAGGTTGCAGGGCAAAAACCACAAAGGTGGTTCCCCATTCAACCAGCTGCGAACGCACCCTAGTCTATCCAACGGGTAGGCTGCGCAAATGGCGGCTTTGAAGGCAGTTCGTCGGGACCCCACAGCGGGTTTCACCACATCCCAACCCATGTCAGCAGAAATACGATCACAGCCAAAGAAGCAGGAAAGTAAACAGCGTGTCTTGGCAGTTCCCTTCCATACCCCTAGTTCAGAGGGAGGGATGTGTATAACATATCCCTCTAAAAGTTTAGCTCCTAGCAAGGGACCAACAAACAACCTTAGTGTTGGAACTTATGTTGTAGAACCGTGACTTGCACTTCCAAAGCGGGTTCCTTAAATTCAACACATCACTCTCACCAACGAATCCGAAGGCCAGTACGCCTTGACAAACTAATATTCACATATTGATCAATCAGTTTTTTGGATGTATCCTTCTCCCGGACGGCGCAGGCGGAGTCTGGCACTCCCAATTGGGAGGCGCTCGTGCATGCACGCGTTGTGTGTCTGTTGGTGAGGAGTCGCTGGCGGCATCCCTGACTGCCCCCTGTTGACCTCCCCTAAGCCCTGTGTACCCCAGATGCCAGCCAATTTTTGAAGTCTTGTGCAGAAAATAATTCACAAACTAAAAACCCTTAAGGCCGTATATGGGTGGAAACCACCTCTTACTTGGATTTGCAAAAAGGTTAGCCGTGGTCTCACATCATGGGATTCTTCTGTGATTCCAGAAGGATCCGGAAAGGCGACCCTGGTATCATAGAAAGTAGTATTTCCCACACACATGAATGGTTTTTGAGTGCTGGGCAGGCTTGGTCAGTTGGTTGGCTGGCTGGCTGGCTGGCTGGCTGGCTGGCTGGTTGACCAATCATAGCGACATTTGAACCTCTGCAGGAGAGGAGAACACAAGGCAAATGCCTGCCTATAGATTGTCCCACAGTTCGCCAAATGGTATGATGGTTTTGCCAAGGTGTACAGCGTAGCTGGGGATTCCCAGGGGTTGCTGACCATTTTGCTCACTCCCAAACCATCTAAGTGTCGTAGAAACCAGCTCCTCAAAGCGCAAAACCCTCTGGGTGTTGGCTAACTTTCCCGAAATTGGTTTCTTGGGGAAAAACACACAATCTCCGGCCCCAACAAAGAAGAAATTATCGCCAACATAGGGCACCTTACAGGGCTCCCTATATCGTCGGCGTGGGTCAGAATCGAGCCACCAGGAAAAACACAGGCTGTAGTCCAGGATTAATCCATTTGCCAGGGCGACCCATGTTGGGGTTGCCCTATTTTTGACCCGCCGCCATATATCGCTCGTGTTAAACCCCTGGGCCTGAGCTACTTGCGGCGAGGGCGCTCCGCCGCAAGGCCTCCTCCACACTGCGAGTACAGCTCTACATCACCGTGGTGATGTGTGCGACGCCCAGGGTGCCCCACGTGTCCAGTTTGCGTTGAAAGTCAACAAATCAAAATGCGCGTATGTTTTCCCCGTTGAAAGTCTTGGGTTAGACACTTCCTATTGATTTGTTGGAGATTTTCCGAGCCCACAGCATGTCTGTTGCATGTTTTGTTGTCGTACAGAATCGGACTGTAGATTAAAGAGGGGATTTGGATATGTGTTGCTGCTTAAAAAGGGCAAGTCACACATTTCTGGAAGAAAGCACAAAGTTTGATCAGTCGCGAGTCCTTTTCAGGGAACCATGAAGAGGTGAGTTATGAGGGGCGAAATCATTGCCCCAGTTGCCCAGTAGCACCCTTATATTCTGTTGGACCCTGGATCAAGTGGACATCCACTGGGCATCTGGCACGGAACTCTGAATGGAGTCGAAGTTTGGGTCCAGAATGTGCTTCACACTTCTACTGTTGGGGGCCCCATTTGGCATAGCCAAGCTTTTTGCCCTTTTTGTTGTCCATCATTCTCTCTTTCAACCAGCAAACAGTTATGCACAACTGTTTGCAGGGAGTTAAGACTGGCCATGCACAGGCGGCAATCAGTTGTTCAACATTGTGTCGCCCATTTCAGAGGTGATACAATACTTTTGGTGAAAGTTCCTCACAGTTGTAAACCCCCAGTTTGTTTTCCTTCTCCGTC